GAGGAAGTCATGTGACATCAAAGTCATATGGCAGGAAGAGGGGGAGCAAGAATTAGGATAAAACCATTAAACCCAACCCCCCCGCAATGTACATCATTAAAGCAATTAAAGACAAATTACGCACAAAACATAAAGACAGCAATTTTTGGTACCCGCGGATAGAGCGTCAGACTAAGATTTGGGTGACCCAGGTTCAAATGCCCACTGAGTCACAAGCCCCTCCCATGTCGGCCTGCACCAATAACTCAGGATTCCTGTTTCTTAAAGTGGCCAACCAGAGGTTTCCAGGAAGACCCAAAGCAGGAAGGTCTCCTCTCACCTTTGACTCCACCTCCCTCAAACATTACAATAGTATTGCCTCTGAGGTTCCGTTCAGCTACTCTGTCCAGTATTAGTTGCCTAAATTTAAAATATTTGTATTCTACCACCCTCCCAAAGGGCTCCAGTAGACACTGACAGACCCCTAACTTTTTATTTCCTCTTTAAAGCTATCCAACTAGGCGGACCCACACTTAGTCCCTGGAACTGTACTCAGGACCAAACACCAGACAGGAGTGAGCCATTGCCTCTTACCCAGGTACCCTTGCTGCTCCAACCACACACGGGAAAGCTGCAGGGCCAGAGCGGCGTTTGAACGCTGATGGTCGCCGGCCAACCCCAGCCGAAGGGGCTTCTCTTCCTTTTCAAAGGCCTCCAGGTCTGGGCACAGGTAGAGAGGACACTGCGGAAGAAAGGGCTGCCAGTTAACAATGCCAGCCAACAATGCCAGCCTAGCTGGAAATCCTGGAAGGATGAAACACCACACGCCAGGGACTTGACCGACTTCACTACGGTCCGGGGGAACAGCCGAGCCTTTCAAACCCAGGTGACACAGGTACCTATGCTTCCAGCTTCAAAAAACAATGGGAACTGAAGGTCTACAGAGGGGTGAAGGATGCATCCATCTTGCGAAAGATTTCTTACCGAGTTCCTCTGGGCTTGTTCTTTCAGAACTTCCAAGGGCCGGTCTGGCTGGGGCACTGTGAGCGCCGGCACTCCTGGCTACAAGTGAAGCCAAGAAACGAACAGTCAACGACCTTACAATATAGCTTGCGGTCAGTGTTCCCTCTAAGCTGAGTTGGTGTGGGCTAGCTCACAGTTTTTGAGCCTCCGGCTCACACATTTTCGTCTTCGCTCAGGAAGGATGGGGCTCCAGAGCAAACTGATCTTATGCAGCAGCCAGATCGCTTGCTCACAACTTTAAAGCCAGTCGCTCACAAAGCAGAATTTCTGCTCAGAAGACTCCACAGCTTAGAGGGAACATTGCTTGCGGTTACAAGGTAAGTGGGTAGGAAAAGCCTGTCCCTAGTCCCAGAGGCAACTGGGCCAGAAGCTCCTACATTCTGCAGCATTCCATGGAAGGAGAGAGGGCCTTCATCTATATCGGGGTCCCTATTGTGGTGCCTGGGGGCGCTACAGCACCTGCCCAACACCTTTCCTGGTGTCCACCAAGTGTTTTAGAGAGTGAGAGAGGCCAGGAGGGCTTTTTACTCAGCACGGCTTCTGATTGATCTCCAGAGATTCCATCAGGGCTGTGAAGATTTTTGTTTTTAAAAAACGTCGCCTTGGCAGCAGCTGCCACCACAGCACAAAGATCTTCACTGTGTGACTGAAGGGAAGCTGTGGCGGCCATTTTGTGGCTGGCTTTGCCTCCTGCAGCAGCCATTTTGTAGCTGCAGCCATCACGCGGTGTCCAAATTCCAAAGTTGCCCATGAGCTCAAAAAGATCTGGGACCACTGATTTACACAGACTCAACGAGGCAGCATTCCGCATCTCTAAAGCAAAAATCCCCAATGATATTAGCTTGTATTTTTAATTTCTAGGCCTCACGAGTATAGAACTAAACGGGCCAGTAAACATCAGGAAATTAAGAGGCTCACAGTTTGTGGTTATTAAAGAAGGGTCTTCTTCATTAATTGTAGTCTGAGGCTGTTCTTTACGGTCTGTCTGACACTATTCTCGGCTACAAGCACTGCTGCTTATGTCCAATGGTTTGCTATTAACGGCTTGGTTTTCTGTATATTGTGGTTTTTCCCTGTAAGCCGTCTCGGGACTCTGAGGAGGTGGCACAGAAACATTCTAAATAAATACATAAACATTATCTTTCCGCCACCCACACACGTTGCTTGTGCCCATTCTAGGAGCCTCTTTCCACA